CTGTAAACAACCCTACTGAGAGGAGAGAAGTACCGAGTCGAACGAGACGGCTGTAAATGAGAGCTGCTGCTTTGTCAGACTAATTTATTTTAATTTGAAGCCTTATCAACACAGACCGGTTTCATTCACTTCCTCCACTGCTGTATGCTAAAACAACTAGCAGACACTGTGCAGAAAGTCGACGTCATTCAAAACTCCGCCTTCTGTTCTCTGATTGGCCCAGGAGAAATTCTTCTCTGTAGAAGAAATCCCAGACGGAGCAGTGAAGGAAACTAGAATAAAGTTGAACTGTGTAGGAAGGCAAGGATCAGGCTAACCAGAACCTGTTTTCCAGGAGAAATTCCAGTGTTTCTGTTGCCATTCACATTGTTCTTATTCATTTATTCAATACCATCAATAACTTGTCCAGGGTGTACCTCACCACTCACACAATGATCAACAGCAAGGCACAGTGTGGTGAGGTGTGCTGCAGTTCAGGGCTTTCTGTTGGTTGTGTAGAAGTTTGGTTTGGCTTTAAGCCAAGAAAATAAACATTATTACGCATTTCTAAATTAAAAAAAGAAAGAAAACGTTCCTCCATCATCTAAGGATCATGAAGAGCATGATTAAAAAAAACACCCGTAAGATTTCTGTTAGTAAAACATCATGGAAACAACTTCTTTACCTCGAGAGCAGTCAGGCCGTAAGAAGCCTGGGAAACAGTGYCATATTCCTGAGAGACAGTCACCATTCCCATGGCAGTTCTGAGGACACTCCATAATGGATTCTGGTTCACAATATGAGAGAGAGACACACACAGAGAGAGAGATTTAAGTGATGCTAATTAATTAATTTCCAATGTTCCCAAAGACTTTATTGTTTTAATTCCAACAACAGTGGCTGATTACAACATCACTGAGGAGCTGGCTCACCTATAGTGATGGTGTTGTAGAAAACTTGTTCTGTGTTKCGTCCATCGTTGTAAACGGCCACGTGCCAAATCCCCGTGTCCAGGTACTGGATGAACCCAGCTTCCAGCACGGTGACTGAGCGTGCGTGTCGAGACCCACCATCAGACTCCTCAGCATGGAAACCATCCAGGTGTGCGTACACCGAGTCTGTGTCACGGAGCGCTCTCTTGTCTTTGGAAATAAGACGACTACCATCCAGCAGCTCCACAAAGTCGTACTGAAGCACAAAATACAAGACAGCAAACAGGTTCAGTTGTTGTTGGTCTCACTAAGTTCACAGTCTTTAGAGAATGTTAAGAATRGCTTTAAAGTATCAGAGTTTAGGCATATATCTAAGCTGAAACATCTCCAKATTTTACAACAGAAGTTCTGATTGAAAAAAAAAACTATTTTAACATAAATGTGGGAAAACATTTGCAAAAATGATACCATTCTTAAACTGCAGACACAAGCTGCACAAAATCACTTGGAGTGCCACAAATGGCCTACGATCTGCACTAGGGGTGTCCCGATACCAGTTTTTTCAAGACTGAGTACAAGTACGAGTATTTCAGTTTAGGTACTCACCGATACCGATACTGGTATCGGTCTCGGGACACCTCTAATCTGCACCTACGTTAGGCTACGTTCACACTGCAAGTCTTAATGCTCAATTCTGATTCTGTGGAAAAGGATTTGTTTCTCTAGTTGTTATATTTTAACCAGACTCCAGTATGAACCWCTCATGGCATTGATGTGACTTGAAGGTGGATAAAATGAGGTGACGCCACATTCAGAAATAAACATGATGCTACATGTTAGCATGTTGATTCTTAAGTTGTGCAATCAGAGGCAATTCATTATTTGACCTGCTTGTTTAGTTCAGTGTTTACACATGAACCTGCCTCTGACTGGATACTTTGCAGTGTGTATTTAGAGCAATGTGCTGAAAGTATCAGTCCAGTCACTTTAGTACCAAGAAGGTCCAAGACCGATGGGACTGTCATACGTTTCAGTGGACTCTCAGTCATCCAGAATATGGAAAAAGAAAAAGATGAAGCAATTGGACTTTTGTTCTTGTCCATTGCAGACACATGTTAATGTTCATGCACGTGTGTGTGTGGTGTTCAGAAAACCAACCTGTGTGTGTGAGGGTGGTAAACCTTTGCGTCCATAAACACCAACCAAAGCATCTTTCTGGACAGATATGTTGAATTTTAAGAACTGTGGTTGATCAATATACATGTGGGACCTCCAAAATACACCTGAAAAAAGAACAAAAAATAAAACAACCTGTGATTTGATGATTTAAGGCTTCATTTACACACTTCCCCCCTCGATATAATTAAAACATGCGTTTCCATTGCAAATGTGCGCAAAACTTTGTTGATATTCTGTTAATGTCGAAAACACAGTTTTGCAACTGCTGTGTTTCTATTAAG